TATCTTGAAATACATTTTCTACTAGTAAGAATGCAATTGTGGATATCTGTAATTGCCATTCTGACTAGTACGAATATAATTTTGACTAGGAGAAATTATATTATGTATATCTAAAATGTAATTACGGATAGGAGTGTGACTTGATTAAATGTTAAAACGGCTTGCCATACATTCTGACTAGTACGAATATAATTTTGACTAGGAGAAATTATATTATGTATATCTAAAATGTAATTACGGATAGGAGTGTGACTTGATTAAATGTTAAAACGGCTTGCCATATGCAGCCAGACCCTTCTCGCTTTGCGCGCATTTCGCTCCGCCCTGCCTACTGAGAACCCTGACATCGGCTCATTCGCAGACTAACAGTGATTGGATGTTGGGAAAGAGCGAACAGGATGTGATATCTATTATCTCGTTTGTGCTTTTTCCAGTGGATGTTTCAGCTACTGTAGTAAATCTTGTCCATATTCAGTTTGTAGGTAATCTATTATTTTCTTTCTCAACTTCTAAAAGTTTGATTTAAGGGGGCTTTGCCCCCTCTTGCCCCAGCGTAAAGCCGGCCCCGGGCAACAGTGTGAAGCAGATCCGTTACGTTACATTAGCAGCAGAAATTAGTAGCAGGAGAACGCAGGGGAAAACTTGAAGAAGAAGAGTTCGTGCTGGTGGACGACAGGCAGCCAGGGGCGAGGACCGGATCGGAGACGTGCGGGGGCTACGGGTCCCGGACCCGGGTCCGCGGCCGCTAGTCATGTCCGGGTTTGCCGGGGCTCCGACCGTCAGCCGTGAGGATGTAAGCAGGGCGGCCACGGAGCGAACAATAGCGGCCGCAGTCACGGAGCGAACAACAGCGGCCGCAGTTACGGAGCGAGAGCGGATTGCTGGACGGATCTACAGCACAGAGCACCACGGTCGAGGGTAAGTTTCTGCTTTTTCATTCCTGTATGTGAGCAGGTGTTGTGCCAAAAAGTTATTGTCTGCCAAGAAACTGATTATCATCCGCAGGAGCGCGCACAGCCTGTTTGGGACACAATAGCAGAGTTTACTATGCGACTACATCGGCTATTTTCGATATCAAATCGTCTTGAAGTGCAAAAACTATACAGTACAGTACATGTATCCCCGAGCTAATCGCGAAGGTATGTCTTTGTCTGATTTAGGGGTTTGGTGAATTTTTAAATAAATAATTGTAATAAGAGTCAAAGGAAGCCATTGTCATGTAAAACGGTTTAAACCCAGCAAACAGCAAGTCGTCCTTAGGTCGTCCATAGGACGTCCTCTTTTGGTCCGGATCTTGTCCTCAAAGGACGTCCTTAGGACATCCTGATGGAAAGGTTTTTTTACGTCCTTAGGATGACTTTTAAGGACGTCCTAAGGACGTCTAGAGAACCAGTTATGGACCTTTTAAGGACATTTTCAGGACCAGTTATGGACATTCCGAGAACATATTATGGACTTTCCGGGAACATTTTAAGGACATATTGTGTGAACATCTTATGGGCATTAAGCCCACGTAAATCCCTTTTTCTAAATAATTCATATTTGACATTTTACCAGTAATACTAGGGACATAAACAAGGGACAGCCTGAGGATGTCCTTTGGAGGGCCAGCTCAATGTCCTTTATTGGGTACATTCTTAGGATG